GTGTGTCAAATGAATCACGATATAAACATTCAAGTGGTTCTACACGTGATCTGTCAAAAATACACAATCGGTTTGGATGTGAGTGCAGTTTTTACTTGTGCCGCGTGCGATGTTCCACTTATGGAACAGAGCAGCGTAATTGGAATAATTTATATCTCCTTTGATCTCTTTTATTCGGCCACCTATTCATTTTGACCAATTAATTTTTCTTAAATGTCGTCGATTTTTTTTAGTTTTACTCCAGAGATACCTTATTGAACAGTTATTCCTAAGTTGATACAGTTTGTGTCTTCTTCATTATGGGTCTGCATAGACTGAACAGTATTAAATCTACAGGTAACAATATTGTTTACCTTCTTCCCCAAAATTGAAGCCAAACTGCTTTTTTGAGCTTGACCGTTGTTCTTTGATGTTGCAATTGATGTAACTGATCGATACATTCATGAATGTATGTGTGAATGGTCAAATTACAATTTGACCATCCTTTTTCGACAATGGTGCTACCGTTATGAGTGATAACCATAGTGAGTGATCAAACTCTAAATGGATGCCGCAACATGTTTCGCAAAATATGAAGTCATCATTCGAGAGTATTGCGATAAAAAGAAATAACGGACAACACTTGTTGGTTGACTAATGTGTACATGGGTAGAAGCTGGCAACGGCGGAAGATGAGCGAGCCCAATTTGTGCGTCAGACGAAATGCCAGTTCGAAGATTTTCAGTTTCCTGAGGTGACAAGTCGAAAGATGCGAAGTATATCATCTGCGCTTGAGTTACCTAGGTACTTTTTACTAAATAATCTGTTTTAGGTTATATGAAATGGGTTTACGACCACACAGATGGTGCTGGGAGATTTTATCGGGTGGGGTCAAACAAAAGCGACAATCTACTTCACAAGTCCTTCAACCACTACCAACAAGCTGGCAGATTATTGCTTAGTATTTGTACTTGTGTAAGCTTAGATGCTTAGTTCAGTTAACAATGTACACTGCTGGTTACACGGAATAAAATATACAGTTTCATATAACATATAAATTGAAGAATGCCGCTGAAGTTTGTTTCATGTATAAACTTCTGATGTAATTCACTTTCAACCTGGTCTTTTTTGGTTAGGAGTTGGGCTAGGTGGGGTACAGCGGAATTTCTATAAATCGTAATACGGAGAGGTAGATGTCGACAAGAGGAGTGTGTGGACGGATGGGAACAACAAGATGATAGATCGGGATGCAGTGGATGAAGAGGGTCGTCTGGAATCTTATTGGCATATGTAACACATGGGTTGATGTGACCATTAATTAATAATGAATCCATTAGGATTAATGATGCACGAACAAATATTATCAAATAACGGCGAATTGATTGGAAGTCTTGTTTTAAAAGGCCGCGGAACAATATAAGGGATCAATAGAGTAGAATGGGTAAGACGCAGTGATGAACGAAGGAAGACAGGACTGACTGTAGGGGTCGGAATCGCCTGAGTTTGCGTACCTGAAAAGACAGGCGTCTCAGTTTTCCCATTCGTTTGTAAATACGTGTGAACCAATAAAGATTGCTGGCCATGGTGACACCCAGGTACTTGACTGAGATCATTCTTGACACAGGTTTACAGTTAAGGGTAGCAGAGTCTGCTGGAAATGAGGAGCGGGAAAGACTGAAGATACACTCTACGCCCTTAGATATGTTAAAACTGAGACCAGATTGATTGGAAAACTGTTGGATTTGGGGTAGATTTTCAGTGAAAGAATCGAATTTGAGGATAAAACTTTCTGAAAAAAAGACGTGGTCAGCATAATTTCGGATTTGGGCAGTAAGTTGGACCAAAAGATGACTGACAAAAGCAGAAAAACGATACGGAGATAGAACAGCACCTTGAAGAATACCAGAATTATTACCAAGAGATTTTGATGTCCTTCTTCCTAATTTGGTGCACTGGACCCTGCCTGTGAAATACTCAGCAAGCCATGAGAGTAGCTGTCTCGGAGTGCCAAAATATTTAATTTTGCAAGGAATCGATGATCAGGAAACAGAATCAAGCACGGACGAATAGTCAAGAAAAACACAACGGACAGACTTGACCGAATTTTTCAGGGGCTTAGTGATAAAATGGATTAGTGTGGATACGGGGTCCACTGTAGCTCTGTTTGATTGAAATGCGAACTGCAGGGGGTTGTAACGAATTGCGATAGTGGACTGCAAGCGACTCAGGATGTACTTTTGTAGTATTGTAAATAGAGTGCGAAATGTAGTTCCGAAATTTGTGTAATGCCGATTTTCAAAAAAAAAAACAATTCCGAATGGAATAATGCACGTATTTTATTCTGATGGTATACACTACGTAATTCAATGCCTTAAAATTGCACAGTAATTTTATCGAGGTCAGTTTCTTACATCACATTTTTTCGGTCAACTTTAGAACCTCAGAGGTCAGCGTGATCGGACGAAACCGTTTCACAAGAACAGCTGAGGATGAGGATTGGAATATTGGGAATTTGACACCAAGCATCAGGAATTGATCGGGAAGATAGGGAGTCATTCACGAGGGATGTCATCATTTTGGCCAGTGAAGCTGGTCCAAATCTGTGAAATACCGAAGGAAGATCATCAGAGCTTGTGGCTGAGAATGCTTTTGAGGATAGGAGAAGCTTAAAGATTTCATAATTGGAAAAAGACACTGAAATGGGTTTATTGCACGCGGAGGAGGAAATCTGGCGCTTGTTGGATGGGTGGATGAAATCGGCGTCAAGGCTGTTGATGTCCCTTGGAAGTGTCTCCTGTTCTGCCCACAGAGAAGGCGAATGCCCCGCCATAAAAGTCTGGTCTTCTTTGTTTACAGAATTTTGACGGAAAAGATTACATTTAGATGGGTTAGCTCAGACCTGATTAAATCAGAATAAGGCTTTACGACTGATGCCTGACGAGTTCTGTTCCTTTGTGCCTTCTCAGTGAAGTCAAAAAGGGCGAAGTAATTCTACCGTCTCAGACAAACGGTTTTCATAGGGCAACACAAGTAAAAGATAGACTTAATGTTTGCAGTGAGTACACTGACAGATTCAGAAATGGATGAACAAGAAGTAAACCAAGACTGAAGAATCGCAACAGAACGGTTAAGAAGAGCGATGCGGTTGGGTGAAAAGTAGCTTCGATGAAATTTTATCTCAGTAGAACCTATGAATGTTTAATAAGCAGTGAGAGAGTACATCTCATGTCTAACAAGACGCATGCAATAGTCACTGGCAAAAACCATACCATTTGTTTGAGAGAGAATAAGTTGGTATAGTTTGTGATCAAACTAAACCACCACAGAACTACCTCTGGTAGGAGAATGAGAGAAGTCACCTATAGCAAACGGAATAAAGGGGGGAGAATGCTTGCATGATTGAACTCATCAACAGCTAGGTGAAGATTTTCATCTAATAATGAAACTAGAAACGGGATGTATAAATCAAAGAAGGCAGAGGTTTCCATCTGAGAACACAAGGGAGATATATAAACATTGGTGGTGATTGTAATTTTGTGACGGGAAAATTTGGGATGACAACGAAAAGACAAACAGTCAATGCATTTTTCAGATTAGTTATACATTACTTCTGACTTGCAGCAACGGGAATCATTGGTCTAGGTTACCACACCACATCCAGTTTTTTTTTCTTATTTCGCTGTTCATCCTGTGGGCAACAATAGAAGCATTCTGTCCGCACGAGCACGACCTCAAAGGCAAAGTGACGAAAAAGCCCGTTTTCAATATATACATATATATATAACCACTAATTGAGAATAAAATTGTCTTGGGAACATAAAATCACACCACAAATTACTAGAAATGATTTCATCATCAGACCCGAAATCGGATTCACCACGATCTCATAGTTGTTTGTCCACTTATCCGATCATCGAGGTTACTTGCGGTACTGTGTGTGTGTGTGGTACAGAGAAGCCTCAGCGCTTGCACAAATTTTTTGGGGTACACAGAGGGGGGATTGTGCGAATGAATTCCCACGCTTCTTCTGTGACCAGTGTTCGATAGCCAACCTGCCTCGGTAAACGCCCACGAATTTATGCTATCCTTCTGCACGTTTACAGTCGCCGTGGGTTTGATTCCAAACTGCCTACGGAAAAGCGATGTTTGTGCTCTTCAGATTTCGGTTTCCAGCGAACGTGTACCGTACACAGTACCAAATTGCAAATAGTAAGTTTGCCTAAATGACGAATTTCGTCAAACGCCTGAATAAAGGCCACAAAGTAAGTTTTGCTTTCTTCTCCCTAATAAATGACTCAAAAGCTTTTTTCTAACTTTTAAATGCCAAGTAAAATGGAACTTTTCAGAAGTAGATCACATAAGACTTTTTTCGAGTTCCGGAATATAACACTTTAGAATAAAACAAAGTGAATGAAATGAAGCATTTTGTCCTTTCCACTGGGTTTCTGACCTTAGAGGATCATAGCTTGATTATACATGCAATGCGATGTATATTATACTAACTCGAGTAAACCGTTACTGGTGCATTCGGTCCTATCCCGTGTAAAGAGCAGACGTGCCAAAATGTTCAAATAGATACCTCCATCGGTGCATAAATGAGGCACAATCCAAAGTTTCCGTGTGAATGGCGGTCTTCATGGAGCGAAAAACGATATCAGGCGTGAATGTTCGAAGTATTTGGGGATATGCTCTCTCTTAAAACCTCCGGTTCACATAATCCTGTTTTATCGGATGAAAGATGAAAATAAAACTCCGCTCAAATCACACTTTGATAAACCTTTCACATTTGAATGAACTAACGAAGTGATTTGACATCACACGATGGTCACCTGAGACGCTGGACAGCAAATCAATGCCAAATTAATGATCTATCTGTTCAGTGTAATGGTACAAAGAGAGCTATTGTTTACTGACACTTGAACTGTCTTCGTGAAACCAGTCGTACTTATTCCAATCTAGAAACAGATCAAGTGCTATTTAAATGAGGACAGTTATTATTTTTTGTAATCCATTGTGCGAGAATGGGAGACACCGATACCATATCGGAATTCATAACAGAAACAGAGGCATCGAATTCACCATGCGAGGACTCCGGTTCGGATGAAACAATTTCCACAAAGACGAGGATCTTCGGTGGACAAAGCGATTTAATCCAGACTTACTGGAGTTGCAGATTGCAGGACTGGGAGAGAGTTTATCGTAGCATTCATCCCAGTAGAGTATTGCGTGTGGATCATTTACTCACGGAGCTAAATTTAGGCGGATTACACATGGGTACAATACCCGATCCGGAATTTTTCCGATGTCTACCTAGTCTACGCTTCTTGTGGATTCATGATAACGATTTGTTCCAACTGAACGGAGTGCTGAAAGCCGTTCCACGATTACTTGGTCTTTGGGTCAGCAACAACCGCCTGAGTAATATGCGTGATCAATTACGATCGCTGCATTCTCTAGAGGTGCTTGACTTATCGATCAACGAACTGCATGACTTTGAGGTGAGTTCGCAAAACCCAGATTAAAAAATGACATTTCGGATCGAAGCGTGGTCTAGCGAGTGGATAAAAAGATATAGTTTCGGTGACTATGACCGATGACCAAACAATGAACGGTAGAAAATGGCAATAAAATAACATTTCAACAATATTATGTAGCAAACATACTTTAATTTTTATCAAAAAAGTATGGTAAAATGGGTAGATTACCAAAGCCTGCCATATCGGATTGAGCTCATCCAAATCGTAAGCAGAGTTTTTGTGAGAGCTTAACAAATCGAACTGCCAAAGAACAATGAACTTCAGTCAAATGGAATCATGGTAAGTGCCTACTCTCGCTATGAACCACTTAGTCAGTTGGTTTTCTTGTCTCCCCAGACAAACGCCAATGATAGCGATGGATGTTTTCTCACACTTCTTCAGACTTGCTTTTCTCATTTTCTCTATCCTTCTGAATTATACGATTCTCCCCACAAAACAAAAAACGTCAGTAATTTCCCAATCTGATTGTTCGCTGCTCGATGGCCTACAATTGGGATAACGTCAGACTACGATCCACAAAGCGGACACTTATCTAGTGGAAGTAGAACTGATAGGTGTTTCCGATGTGGCAGTTATTGTTCTTCTTTGGATTTATTTAAAAAGACCTAATGTGTAATTGCGGTATAAAATGCCCCCAATGTGTGGCTTGAATTAACATCAGTGATTCACACAGCATGGCAGGGAATCCATGGNTAATCGTTTCAGACGGTGATTTTCACCCGCATAGACTCGGGTTCATTAGCATACTTTGTTTTTACTATTACCAGACTCTAGTCAGGCAGAAGGTTGTTGATCATGTATGGTATATATGTACGCGAGCACTCTATGGCGCATTGATTCTTGGCTGGAAGATAGATTTGCAAACCAGGTTACTCCGGTTTTGTCATCAAACTAGGCAGTATATTTGGTTGATACGCTCTCAACTAACTCTGTTCGTTACAACCCCTTACTATAGTGTTTCCTTAGGAAGCATATATCGATTGCACTATAAGATAAGTAAAACTAACCCCTAGTGACTATCGGCGGTGTCAGTCAAACAAAGATTTGTTACATTGAATCACCCGTGAATTTCCCCATTCTTAAAACGTTGCCATTAATGAGCTCAGGGTCCTGCGAGTGAGTGCATATTCTACATTTCTCAAGTTCTGAATCGTTCGAATTGCCTTATTGACTTGAGATTCCGGTAAAATACCAGCCTAAACAAGTTTAAACTTACTCTGGGGCTCGCGGGAGTTGCGGATAATACTCTCATTTGCTCCCGCGCGACAGATGCAAATCAGATTGAATCAACAGCAGTTGGTGCCAGCTCTGATGCAAACAATGTCGTCTATGCTAAAATATCACAGGAACGATGCTGTTCCATCTAGTAGCTCTCCAGTCTCGACGGAATCTGGAAAAATCAAGCCAACGGTTCGTTTCTTTTTTTCAACACACCATCGGACCACGATAAACGGACCGTTCATTCGAGGTCACCAACGTAACGTAACACGCGTATTTCTCTCGCAAACACCGAAAACGAACGGGTGAGACATGGATAGAGAATTCATGGAACTCGTTACGGATGCAACGAGGTGAGGTCAATCGCCGGGATGAAACGCTTCGGAAGCAACGATTATTTGTTTCATCTTCGCGAAAGATGGGTCAGTCGTGTATATTAATCAAATCCATGAAGAGATTGCAAAACAGAAACAACATATCTAACAACTTGACGAAGGCTCACGGACGGAAAGGAATGAAAAGATGAGAGTTCAATTATAATCAATTGTCTCATACGTTCCTGCTGATCAGGAGATTCTATAGTTTAAGGGCACCTGGTCGAAATGAGTTGTTTTGATGAACCTCGTTGTTGAGCCCTTTGGTGGCATTAAATTATCACTCTATCCGTTGTGCGGATGGAGCAGCAAAAATATCTTAGTGAATGCGGAATTTTTCCAGCCTCCAGTGTTGACATACACACACAAGCCGGTACAAATAGCAAGAATTGTCGGTACCGTCGTGTGTGCTTCCAGTCAGAGAAACTGTATTCTGTGCACTAACAGATTCATGTGCTAATAATCTCAAACGGTTTATGTTGAAATCTCTATTTGTGTTTATTGAGTCAAACTATGCACCTGTTACCGTTGTCTATTTGCAGCGAGGTTCGATTGCATTGATGTTGTACTATGTGTGTGTGTGCGTGCGCGCGACTGGTCACAGCCCTGTTGGAATTGGCATAACCCGATGTAATCAATGCCATTCATAATATCATAGAAATCGTATAATGAGGCACACAAAAGCTATTCACAAACCCCGTAGAAGAAATATTTAACTTCTCGAACTTGTACTCTGTTACGTTTAGGTCCCACGCCTTCTACTGACATTCCTCGTTCGTAAACCGGGCAGCTTTGGAGCAGTAAACCAGTGTTTACAGATAGCATACTCGAGGCCTATAAAAAGTACGGAACGTGAAGCAAAAAAAGTGTGGAGATGGATTAAAAAAATACAAGGTATGGGACAGTGAATTCGACACAGAGAGCAGTCATTTTCATGAATCCGTAGGAAAATACGCGGTGATCTGATAGAAACTGAATCTCAATTTAGAAGGGCCTTTGAGCAGCAGTTTAACCCTTTATGGAATATGATTTAGCTTCAGACATTTGTTGGGACGACTTAAACGGAAACCAAAGCTTATTCCAGTACATGCTATGGTCCCGCTGTTGAATCTGTTTGCCGCCCTCCACACGTTCCACCCCAACAGTCTGTCTAGTCACCTCTCCCTCCATTGTCATTGTCTGATTCGTACGTATTATCGATAATCGGACATGCACTTTTCGTCCATTCCATCTCTTCATTCTCCATCATGAAACGGTCAGTGAAGTATTGTTTTTCTTCGTGATGGGGAAATCTAGGGTGGCCCCTTTAAAAGCAGTTACGA